GACCTGGGTTCGATCCCTGGGTTAGTAGGATCCTCTGGAGAAGGGAAAGGCTACCCACTCCAGTATTCTGGACTGGAGAATTCCATGGATTGTATAGTCTATGGGGTCTAAAGGGTTGGANGCCAGACATCCTGGAGTGTAAAGGCAAGTGGGCCTTAGGAAGCATTACTATGAACAAACCTAGTAGAGGTGATAGAATGCCAGCTGAGCTATTTCAAATCCTAAAAGATGATGCTGTTAAAGCGGTGCACCCATTAAGTCAGCAAATTTGGAAAACTCATCACTAGAAAAGGTGAGCTTTCATTCTAATCCCAAAGAAAGGCAATGCCAAGGAATATTCAAACTACCATAGAACTGCACTCATTTTACATGCTAGCAAGATTATGCTCATAATACTTCAAGCTAGGCTTCAGTATCACGTGAACTGAAACCTTCCAGATGTACAAGCTGGATTTAGAAAAGGCAGAGGAACAAGAGATCAAATTGTCAGCATCCGCTGGATCATAGAAAAATCAAGGCAATTCCAAAAAAATCTCCTTGTGCTTCACTGACTACACTAAAGCCTTTGACTGTGTGGATTACAACCAATTGGAAAATTCTTAGAGATGGGGATACCAGACCACCTTACCTGTCCCCTGAGAAGCCTGTATGCAGAACAAGCAGCAACAGTTAAAACCGGACATGGAACAATGGACTGGTTCCAATTGGGAAAGGAGTACGTCAAGACTCTATACTGTCACTCGGCTTATTTGACTTATATGCAGAGGACATCATGTGAAATGCTGGGCTGGATGACTCAGAAGTTGGAATCAAGATTGCTGGGAGAAGTATCGACAACCTCAGATATGTCACTCTAATTGCAGAAAGTGAAAAGGAACTAAAGAGCCTACTGCTGATGGGGGTGAAAGAGGAGAGTGAAAAAGCTGACTTAAAACTCAACATTCAAAAAACAATGATTATGGCATTCATTCCCATCACTTCATGGCAAATAGATGGCAAAAAAGTGGAAGCAGTGACTGATTTTTTTTTTTTTTGGATTCTGAAATCACTGCAGACAATGACTGTAGCCATGAAATTAAAAGACACTTGCTCCTTGGAAGGAAAGCTATGACAAACCTAGACAGTGTATTAAAAACCAGAGATAACACTTTGCTGACAAAGGTCTGAATATTTAAAGCTATGGTTTCTCTAGTAGTCATGTATGGATGTGACAGCTGGACCATAAAGAAGGCTGGGCACCGAAGAATTGATGCTATCGAGTTATGGTGCTAGAAGACTCTTGAGAGTCCCCTGGACAGCAAGGAGATCAAACTAGTCCATCCTAAGGAAAATCAACCCTGAATATTCAATGGAAGGACTGATGCTGAAGATGAAGTTCCAATACTTTGGTCATTTGATGCAAAGATCCCATTCACTAGAAAAGACCCTGATGCTGGAAAGGATTGAGGTCAGGAGGAGAAACTTGTGACAGAGGATGAGACGGCTCAACAGCATCACTTGACTTGATAGACATGAGTCTGAACAAACTCTGGGAGATGGTGAAGGACAGGGAAGTCTGACGTGTTATAGTCCATGGGCTTGCAAAGAGAAGGACATGATTTATCAACTGAACAACAACAACTTAGTAAGTACTTAATAAATATTATGAATTATTGGATGCATGTCTTATGACTTCACCAAATATTAAATCTGAAGGTACGTGACTCCAGAATTCTTTCAGCAGTTCAGTAATGTAATTTAAGGACGAAAGGTTTCCCCATCTTTCCCTTCTTCCCATCTCACTGGGTTTCTGGTATCTACTATCATGGTTACAAATGTACAGCTACAGTAGCTTCAACATAACACTTTCTAAAATGCTGTAGTTCATGGGGTCGCAAAGGGTTGGACGCAACTAAACTGATCTGAAAATGACAAGGAACTGAAAGGAGGTGAGTTTTCTTCTTGCCAGTCTCTCTTCTTGGCAGCGAGAAAAATCTTCCCAGTGGCACTACTACAGACTGTCCCTTATTTCACTGGATAAAAGTGAATCTCATGTTTATACTTAAACCAATCCCTGACATGAGAAATGTGCATGAGTTTATAATCTAAGATTTATCACCGAGATTGTGGAAGAAGCTCATATCCTCTGAGCACAATGAAACTGGAACAAAATCAGGGTTATATGAACTATGAAAGAAGGGGAAAATAGCTCTTATAGAGGCAATGACTGTCTTTCAATCCCTCAATCATAAAATAAAAATAATAACAATAAAAAGTAATATTTACTTAGTGCCAGACAGTGCTGTCCATATATTTACTCACTATATAAACCAATTTCCTTCCTCTGGCAAGTTATGAGAAGGAAATATGATACTAAAGAAAATAAGACAAAAACAAAATAAAAACTAGTATATTCTCAACATGAACTGCATTTCAAGGAATAGACTAAAAATGAGGATGATATAACGAATATTTGTTTCACCTCTTCCTAAGTCTAATAAAATGACTTCACTATTTTCTATTTGTAATCAATTCCTAGGTAATATTCAGCTATATACAATGTAGTAGAATGTTTCCCAAGCCCCCAAATGTGGAACTGCCTACTACTGTATAATCCAAGCCACTGCCAGCTTCCATTATTCTGACCTGATCATATCTAAAGTATTTTCCTTAAAAATGATAAACTCTTTTTGATTTTGCAGCCCTTAACAGCAATGCTTAATTAAAAGCAGGATACTGCCCTAAAGACAGAGTTTACTTTAAAACCTGATAACATTTTGAGTTATTTAAAGTGCCTTTTAACAAGCTCAGGATCCATTTTTTCTCATTTCCTCCTTATACTCAGAATAAATACATTCATGAGCCATGACTGCAGCACTTTAAAACAGTAAAGGCAGGTTTTTAGAGGACTGATTTCAAAAGACCTGGGCATAAAAGGAGGAGTACAGAGTCAAATAAAGGAAACGACTAAATCACTGGCTCATTCATGTAACACCGTATTATCCTCAAAACATTAAAATACAAACTTTACTTACATATACTGGTGATTCAAAAATCTTAGTAATACTCTTTACTAGGAAGATCATAGTCTGTCTCATAATTATTTTGAAAAAGAATAGTGTATCATAAAAAAGTTAGAAAACTTCATGGGAAAAAACAGAAATAAATGAGAAAAATGGAAAATCTAGTTAAGAGATTTACATAGAAGAATGCAAACAAAGGAATGCCAAACTTTAAAAAGATTTCTTAATTTTTTTGGTTTAGTTTTATGTCAACAACAAAAGTTCTATCAGATCTCAGTCCAGTTACTTAACCTTCAAAAGTTAAACTTGGAATAGAATAAAACCCTTAACATTTTAAAAAGAAAATGTGAGAGAAGATCTTTATGACCACAGGCTGAAAGGATTTGTTAGCGACACAAAGATCAACAACCATAAGAGAAAAGACAGATACATTCAACTACCTCAAGATTTTGAAAAAAAATAAAATTCTGTTGATGAAACATATCACAACCTGGAAACAGGAATCTGAAATGTACCTATTGTCTAATACAACAAACGGGTCACTGGCACTCATTATTCATTCTCATTCCTTTCCATATTCTAGCATCTTTTATAGTAATTAAAATTCTAGAACTTTATTTCCCAAACTTTCTTGCAGCTGGTGTGCTGTATGGGATTAGTTTCAGCAGAGAGAGGCACTTGAGGGGGATATGGAAGGTGGAAGTGAGCTGAGAATATTTTCCTATAGGTATGATAGATGGCAAGCAAAACTGGTAGACTTGAGTGCTCTTGAAATCAGCAACCCATACCCTACTCTCCAGTTTCAAGTTTTCAGCTTCATGAAAATGCTGTTGTAGTGGTGGCTATAGCAGCATAAATTCCTGACCACAGCATCTCAGCCTCTATGGTATGACTAAAACCAATGATCTTACCTACATTTTAACTGACAGTGACTAAATCTCTTACTTGTTTGAAATGCCTACAATGGTTATGGTTAACACTGACTGGCACACCAACAAATACTGACAATACAGATTATATAAATTTACTAAGGGAAAGATAAACAAATAGAAAATGGGAAAAAGAAATGAATGTGCATTTCATGAAAAATCACATGGGTAAGTAAATACATGAAAAATGGTTGAACATATTGGTATTCAGAAAATGCAAATTAAAACAATGAAATACTATTTAGGACTCAAAATAATAAACATTATGAAAGCTGGTAAGGGCAAGTGTTGACGAAAGATACGGATCAATAAAAACTCATAAATGTCACTTGTGGGATGAAAATTGGTATAGCCACTTTGGAAATTAAGCTGGCAAATATATTGCAGAATTGAATACCACATGGCCTATGACCAAGCAATTTAATCCCTTGAAATTCTTCTATTTATGCATGATACTGAGTGAAAAAAAGTACGTCTCAAAAGACTAAATAATACTGTTTTATGTAAGTTTTAAAAAAAACATAAAAATAGTATATCATTAGGCATAGATGTATCTATAAAAATTTAAAAAGCAAGGGAATGATAAAATTTCAAGACAGTATTAACCGCTGGCAGAGGGAAGGAGAGGGATGACGTAGGGAAAGAAAACATGGATAGGTGCACCAGTATTGATAACATTTTAGCTCTTAAATGGATGGTGGGCTCACAGGCTTTCTTTTATTGGTATGTTTCCTAATGTATTTATATATTACATGCTATTCTACTACTAATGATTGCTAACATTTATAAAGTGTTTACTATATACCCTATTTTAAGCATTTACTTTGTCCTTTATAGTCAGCTCTATGAAACAGGTTCTGCTATTATCTCCCATTTATAGATGAGGAAAAGCACAAAGAGGCTAAGTAACTGTCCAAGGTCACATACCCAGAAAGCAACGGAGCCAGGAGTCAAAGAGGACATCAGTCCCCAGAGCCCACATTCATAACCAGGACACTAAATGAATAAAACACCAAGTAACAATAAAAGTTACCTAAGACAAAAATGAAATAACAGTTAATCAAGCTACCTTTCATTTTCCTTGACGACATTTTCAAACTGTAGTTTCATCTCACCCATCTGTTTCTGGAAGAATAAAATATAGCTGTAGGAAAACATCTTCAAGACAATTAGATCTATATTAACAGTTCTTTCATATACAAGCAATCTGTGACACTAGTCTATAGATAAGAAATAATTATTCTTCACTTCTAACAATAGATATTAGATATTTTAATGATACAGAGAACATTCTGAACAGAATATAAATAAAACTTTCTTATGTAATATACTAATAAATATTTATAAATAATTTGTACGATTTATAGATGCTTATAGTAAAAGAGATGAAACATATTCCTCAATATGTCACTGTAAGAAATACTAGATGACCCCCAGACCTTGACTATATGTCTTGTTTCATCCTACTTTAGGTGGAAGTCCATGTAAGTGTGCTTAAATTTTGAAAAGTAAAATGTTAATGGTGAAAAAAAGCAAATAAAGATCTTCTTTAGCAATAATTCATTCAGTCTCTGATTGACCTCTTTTATTAGTTATTTATTAATTATTAATGAATTGTTAATATAATTAATATAATTATTTATTAATCTCTCTGCATACACAAGGCTGCTACAGTAAACCAATATGGTTAATAACACACACAGTAGTAGGAAATACAGTAAAAATAAATAAATAAATAAAATCACTAACTAAAATACCAATAAGAATAAAATACACATTGAAAAGGGAATGAAATGGTATTTCTAATTTTTTTCTGAGGGCTTAAGGGGATTGTAAGATTTCAACAGAAAAGGAAGGACATTTCGAGCAGGGTGAAATATGAGTAAAAGCAAAGAAGCAAAAAATATTAGCCAACACAGAGTCGTCAGTTCTCAATAAGAGTAAATGAGCAAATGGAGATCAGGAAGGAGGCCGTGTAAAACCATACTTAAAACAAAACTGCAATCAACTCATGATCTGCCCATTAGTCTTGGTTGGGTACCCACAGCTAAAGGAGAAGTGCCAAGCCTGGAGTGAACCTGGCAATGGCAGGGTGGAACGGGCAGAGCTCCAAGCCTTTCTCTCTTCCTGTCAACCAGAGAAGTTCAAGGCAGCTTGGTCTAGAAAACCAGTAACAGCCAATTATAACTACAAAGTTGGCTTGAAAGGTGAACCTTTCCCAGCTCCCTGCTGTGCCTGAATCACAATTAAACAAAAATGAATGAATTCACTACCAGATAATTGAGAACTGACCATACATGGAGCGATGCAATGAGAGGTAAAATTGGAAAGGCAGGTGGCAGGTCTTGAATGTCATGCTAACTAAGAGGTTTGGACTTTATTGCAGCAATTATTCTTGCTTTGTATTTTTTTTTAATTGATCTTTAAAATTTTCAAAAATGTCAATGTATCTTGAAAAATATTATTCAAATAATCAGGTGGGGTATATGCATTAATATGGATTCTGGGTAAATTATTATAGTAACACTAAAGATTTTTTACTGTAAAATATTGCAAAATATTTAAGAGTTGGAAGGAAATAAAATTCAGCAGTATCTTTCTTATCATCAAAATTTCCCCAATTATTTACATTTTCTGGAAGAAAATCTTTCACATAGAGAATTATTAGGAAAATTTTCCTGCTTTCGAGATACATTATTTTTTGACTGGGTCAGTAAGATAATCCATAAGAACTATTGCTAATCAATAATATCTATGTGAGCAAGTGTTCTTAGAAGTAGCTGTCAGCATCTTTTTTCTCCCTAAAAGTAGCAACTTCTTATCACAGACCCTTGGGCATTCTGCTACACCTACCTCTTTTTTGAAATTAATCGAGTAATCACTTTTAGATTGAGAATGACAAATGGAAAAATGAAGTTAAATATCTTAGTAAACTAGCAGATTAAAGAGATAAATGAGTCAGACTGATTATAGAAAAAGTTGAAAATTTAAGTTTAATTTCTAGAAGCTAGATATTCTATTTTACAACTAACAAACCACAAGTCATTAATTTTGAGAGAGTGAATTCAGGAGGAACTTTAGGCTCACTATCCTAAAAACTGGAGAAGGAAATGGCAACCCACTCCAGTATTCTTGCCTGGAGAATCCCCCCAGACAGAAGAGCCTGGCAGGCTACAGTCCATGAGGTTGCAAGAGTCAGACACGACTTAGCGACTAAACAGAGAGAGAGAGAGAGATCCTAAAAATAAAAGCATCAATTCTTCGGCGCTCAGCTTTCCTTATAGTTCAACTCTCACATCCACACATGACTAGTGGAAAGTCACAGCTTTGACTAGACGGACCTTTGTCAGCAAAGTCATGTCTCTGCTTTTTAAAATGCTGTCTAGGTTGATTAAAGCTTTTCTTCCAAGGGGCATGCATCTTTTAATTTCATGGCTGCAGTCACCATCTGCAGTGATTCTGGAGTCCAAGAATATAGTCTGTCACTGTTTCCATGTTTCCCATCTACTTGCCCTGAAGTGATGGGACCAGATGCCATGATCTTAGTTTTCTGAAT